GCTTCTCGAAATGCTCGACCCAGAGCAGAATAGTGGTTTCTTGGATCATTACCTAGACGTTCCTGTTGACTTGTCGAGGGTTCTATTTGTGTGCACTGCCAACACTCTGGACACCATCCCACAACCGCTCCTTGACCGTATGGAGGTGATCGAGGTTTCTTCATACACTGCAGATGAAAAGCGGCACATTGCAAAGGGCTACCTTGCGCCTCAAGCGAAGGATGCAAGTGGCCTAAAGGAGGCTAATGTCGACCTGCCGGACGACACCATCGAGTTCCTCATCAGGCACCACGCTCGCGAGAGCGGAGTGCGCAACCTGCGCAAACTTCTGGAGAAGGTCTACCGCAAGATTGCATACAACATTGTGCGCGACCACGGCGAGACTGTGTTCCCAGAACCGAAGGAAGGAGATCTACAACCGGCTACTGCGGCCTCGGCTGCCCCGACCACTGATGATGCATCAGGCGTTAGCCCAGCTGAACCTGCTGGCTCTGCAGAGAGCAGCTCACAATCTGTGACACCTCCGCCAGGTCCAAACGATAGCGTGGCGCCCGACAATCTGCCGAAGCCAGATGAATCAAGCTCTGAGAAGAAGGAGGACAATGAGGTGTCAAGCAAGCCGATCACCAGCGACACGCAAGCCCGCGATGCCCCGCCGGAGCCGCCTTCCAAAACGACAACACAAAAGAGAGAGCCAATGAAGGTGCCTGATTCAGTGCAAGTGGAAATCACAATCGATTCCTTGCGAGAGTACCTTGGCCCACCGGTATACCACAAGGATCGCCTTTACACAAAGACGATGCCTGCCGGTGTGTCGACGGGGCTGGGCTATCTGGGCAATGGTAGCGGAAGCGTCATGCCGATCGAGACCAGCATCATGCCAGGCAAGGGTGGCGCCATCAAGCTTACAGGAAAGCTTGGCGACGTCATCAAGGAGAGTGCGACCATCGCCTTGAGTTGGCTCAAGAGCAACGCATACTCGTTGGGCATCACGGAGGATCAGAAGACCAACGCACTCGAGGACCGCGAGGTCCACCTGCACATGCCGGAAGGATCGATCGGCAAAGAGGGACCTAGCGCTGGTGTGGCGTTCATCACCTCTCT